TGTAACATTTATTCTTTTAAAAAATAAGGATTAAAGCAGCATGGCAAAATGTTCACTTTCATTGCATGTAGGAAGTGGATAGATTTGTTTTATTTTTCTGTCTACTTTTCCTGCATATTTGAGATAAATGCTAATTAAAATTCTTAGAAAATTATTTTCTTAAAAGAGAGCTTTCACTGGGCAGACCTTAAGAGTGTGGGCTTAGGATCAGTGCAGGGAACTGCTATCAGACAATCAGAGCCTTTCCCAAATGGAACCTGTGTAAAGGCTGGCATGCCCCAGGCACGGATCCAACGAGAGAGGCTGGCAGGGCTGACTGCCAAGCAGCGCTGGAGATGTGCTTCTTGCTTTTCTGGGAGGCTGTGCAAGAAAATGTACAAGATCTGTGAGATTGCAGTAGATCTCTGAATCTGTATAGAGAGTAGAAATTTAGTTTGACAGATATCTACTGTGTTCCTCTAAGTTACTGTTCACTTAGAACACTTCTTAAACACAGAATTTAATTGCACTGAACGTAAAATCTTATAATCCTAGGATAAGTGTGGACTCAGACCCTTGGCACCAATCAGCACCCCTGAGCCCTTGAAACCAATAAAAGGAAGTGCTACTTTATGCATTAGGGATACAGCATACATCTGAAAGGGACTGATGAAGAAACAAAGAGCTTCCTTAGACTTCCGAGTGAGCATCATCGTGGGCAAAGATCTTTTCCTACAAAGTATCTCCTGATATATATCTTAGGATATAATTCCGGGAAGGACAATACATCTGAGCCACCGTGACAGAGCAAAAACCAAACACAGATCTTGCTTTATACTTAGTTTTTAGCTTAGCTCCTCCTATGTTCTGAAGGGTAAACGAAGTGTAATGGACAGGATTTATAAACCAGCTGTTCTCAGTGGCGGAGGAAGAGTAAATGAGCTATTTTACAGAGCAGATGTGGTCCAGGAGACTAGATGATTCAAGTTAATTGGTATTAATATAGCTCATAGGCCACATCAGGCACCGGGCCACGTTCTTTATATGCAGCCTGGTCAGAGACCCCCCAAGAGAAACCTCCAATACTAAAGAGACCTCTTGATAAAGTGATATTAACTATAAGCGCAATTCTCTCCAAATCTATCCCTGAGGGCATTGTGTTTATCTAGGGTTCAGACATCTATTTGATGGCCTGTGGTTCCCTATGTTATCAGTTAATACAGAGGGGGGACCTATAAAGCAGAAGTGAATGTAACTGTGCTGAGTGAGACACTTGCTTCCATGTCTCTTGGGCCTGATACATTCAGTAATGTATAATTTTTTTCCCATCATTAACCATGGTTTTGGTGTGTCTTTTAACAATAGAAATGCCATTAGCTACTGAAGCAGAGCACTTGAAAGAAAATGCATTTGAATTCAGTAACTGGAAAGGATGTTCCCTTCGCGATGAATAATTTTAGGTATATTTTTGATGTCGAATTGAAGAATAAAGAGCAAGATAAGACTAGGTTAATGGAGCAAAGGATACAGCGTCTTCAAAGAGACTACATAAAAGCTGTGAGCCCACTGCATTCTGTTCGTGGGCTGTACAAACGAGCGCTCATTTCAGTTGCGACTTCCCGATTCAGAATTTTCTGTTCTACGTATTCACTCCAGGCATTTCCTGCTTCTTTCATGGAAGCTGATGAATTTCATTCATTCATTAACCCATCAATCTATTCCATAAGAAAGTAACTCCTATTGTGCTCTGAGAAGTAATTAACCCTCAGCTGGACAAGAGAGCCCCAGTTTGTCAGTCACTTTTGTGTCCAGGTACCCTCAGGACCTGCTGAAGGCTGCACCTAATGTGACATCAGTACCTAATGCGACATCTACTATGTTTCTTAAGAAAACCGTAATTCAATTCTTGGTCACTTAGAGCAGCATTTTCCTCAACTCTTATCTAGAAATAAGTCGGGGAGGGCATCGGCACTGGGGATTTCGGTCTCTGCGCTGTTTGACATGATATAAAATTGACCTTGGCTTTGGAAAGAGGAGGACCAAAAGAGGGACTCCGGGGACCTAAGCATATGGCTGGCTGCTCGCGGGAGGCCTGCTGGGGACCGAAGAACGCGGTGACCTAACGGTGGACACTTCTGTGCCAGGAGGGACTTACTGTCATATTCCTGTAACAGCTCCACTGCTGTCAAGAGAACAGCTCTGTGTTCTGGGTCCCTGATATTTAACTCATCCAAGTCCTCCTCCTCCAGAAGCTTAAAGGTGTCCAGATCTTCATATCCATTGAACAGGAATGTGGGCATGTGCTCCTGTGAGGGAAGGAAGGCAGAAATGAGTCACCAGGCCCAGCCATGTGATACGTGACCAGCAACCAGCCTCAAAACCCTAAACTCTTCCTCCATAGTCATTTTTATGCTAATTGAAAGATTAGTAAGTATCATCTGTAAGCTCTTCAGTACCTCCCAGTTGTATGGCTTAGTAGGCAGGCAGGGCATTTCATTGATCATAGGTTAAGAAAGATGTACACTGCAGGCTGGGATGGGCTCCAGTGGCTCGCATTTTAATTGTGCCCTTGCTATGAACTGATGCTTTTAAAGCCACACAACGTACAGTGGACGAGACTCTTCTTTCATTCACAGAGCTACTGAAATCTAACTCAGCGAGGCCTGTGACTTCTCCCGAAAACAAGATGGATTTGCAAGGAGGAAACAGAACCTACAACAGAACCCCACCCCGCAAGATGCTGGCAGTAAGGTGGGAGGCCTGGGAAGGGTGAATGCTCACCACCTCTGTGGAGCCATGTAAGAAGGTGCCAGGGGTTTGTGCCGACAGCCCTTCCTGGCAGCAGCTCAAAGTTCACAGCTCTCTGAAAAATTCTCTTGGAGGCTAGTAGCAAATTTTGACCCGGGGCTCATGCTATCTATCACCCACAGCAGAGGTCAAGGGCAGCATGAGAACACTGGTAACTATTTCTGCAGAATAATGGATACTCATCATAGCAATGGGCCACCCTCGTTGGGTGACATAGATTCCTCGCTACCCCTCCCGGAAAGTGACCTCGCTGTCTTAGTTTATGAGAAGGAGATGGCAATGTGTGACCAGGCCAGGACGGAACTGGAACTGACTTTCAGGTTAATCCGATCAAGGAGATCCTCCACGGACTTGGGCTGGGGGGGTCTTCCTTTTCTCCTCCTCCTGGTGGGGCGCTTGGGCTTCTCCTCTTCCTCGTTCAGCACATCCACATAGATGAACTTGAAAGTGCCCACCTTGTTGTTCAACAGGCCCATCCAGGTGCCCATGGGGGGCTTGCTGATTATGTCAATGATGTCTCCTTTCTGTAGCCCAGGGAACAAAGAATTTTCCGTTAGGTACATTTCTAAATATGAATCACAAATCGATGAGTTAATCAAGAAGATGTGAAAACACCATGAAGGCCTCCATCAGGGTACTGCAAGTCACCTCCTCGCATGGCTGGGGGTTTGGCAAAGGGCCAGAAGGAGCACCCCCAACTGTGCTGGATTCCATGAGGGCTGAAGGTCTCATCCACCCCACCCTCCTGCACCACAGGATGAAGCGTCCCCCTCATGCCTTGCTGGGGGACCACCTAGCTCTCTGAATGCCTTGCTGTCTTCCAGAGCTCTTTTTCTTAAGAAAGAATTCCTCCCTACCCCCGCCAGCCCAATGCCAGTGGTCATCCCTGTCCTACAACCGCTTCATACATTCTGTGGAACTCCATCTGTCCCACATAAACATCACTAGTCACGCAGAGAAGGCAGTTAAGGTTTCTTCAGCTGGAGAAAGCACAGAAACCGGAGGGCGGAGGGCAACAGCAATTTTAGAGGGAAGCTGAGGTCAGAGGTCATGGCCAGGAGGATGAAGTGGCGAGGACAGAGGATTAATACAAGACCCGCCCCTGTCCCATTGCTGGCTGGTTCTCTTGTTTTTCACTACAGAGGAGACCAGTTTATCGAGGCAGCTGAGACACTGGCTAGTAGGCACCGTAAGAGCCTCGCATTCGACAGCAAGAGCAGAACACCACTTAAAGAAACAAGAAGCCCAGGTCTGAGGCCAGGTAGACACACACCTTGAGCTTGAGCGAATCTGTGTCGTAGGGACTGGGCGTGAAGTCGGTGTGCACTCGGGCGCGCCCGCAGAAGGGGCCCCGGTAGGGCGGCTCCTCGTCATCACCGTCTTCCGACTTGACGCTCTCCCTGTTGCTGGTCGAGGAATCGGTGGTGCTGACTGTCTGACCACCTGTACAGGACGAACAGGAAGAGCAAGGGTGAATGCAGATTTCCCGCACGGCAAAGCCGAGAGGCACCGAAGGAACTGCAGCTAGGAAGCTGAGAGCAGAGGAGTAAAATCGTGAGCCGCATCAGGACCAGAGCAGGCTCCAGTCACAAGTCCAGGGTTTTCTCGTCGTCATCCCTACTCAAGGCCCTAAGTAGATGGCGCAGGGACGGGGCGACTTCTGCAAGTTGTCTTTCTGATCTGGGAATGCAGGTGACACTGTGACTCCCCAATGGAGGACACCACAAGCCCTTAACATTCATGACCTCTCACTGGTCAGCCATATCATTTTTACTCCATTTGACAGATGAAGAAACGAACTCAGAGAAGTCAAGTAACTTGCCCAAGACCAAATGCTTTTAAAGGGGTGGATTCAAATGAAGTCTCTTCCTCTGTATCATTAGGCCGACACCACCACTGGTCAGAGCGACTGACCAGCACTTGTTGTCACTTACATTTTTAATTCTCCTTCCTTCCCCCATATCTTATGTCTTGAAGATCTGACTTAATCCTCCTCCCTTCTCCCGAGCCTTCCTGCGATGCTTTCCCTATCTTCCCTGATCAAAATTCCTAACCCTCTCTTCTGTGCCGTTGCTGTACTACTTACTAATCCTGCTCAACAAAGGTGACTCTAGGCCCAGATGTTTTGCACGTCTGTCTCTCTAACAGAACCTGAAGGGCAGGAACTTGATCTTATTTATCTTTAAACTGCTTGAACCCGATGCTCAGTAAAAGTCTGATTTTTGACTCCAAAGGAATTCATCTACGATTACAAAGCAGACGTACTCATGGAGCTCTGTCCGCTCAGCGAACTCCGCAGACTCTCTACAGAACCTCCGGCTTTGAGCTTGGGCTTGTCCACGTGTTCACTGTCAGGCTGGGAAGATGGGGCGGAGCCAGGCATTCCTTCAAGGCACGAGTCCTGCAATGGATTTCAACAACATTAAGCTTCATCAGCGTGGACGAGTATCATTTTGTAATTCAAAGCAATTTAGCCCTAAACTAAAGTAATCAAATCCATCATCACTGTACCCAAATTTGATTCTATAGCCAATATTCTTCTTTTTAATCTATATCCTTGCTTCATTTTAAAGCTGTGGCCTATATAACAATTAAGCACTTCACCATTATTTTTCACACTCAAATGGAAATTCTTCAAATCCCTAAGAAAAGTCTACCTCTTAGACAAAATATTTTGCTAAAGGCTTAGAGTTTTTGCATCCTCCATAATCCAGTAACGAGGCTGGACTTCAAATGCAGATGAAGCAGAATCCATTAGCAATGCACTGTCTGGAAGCCCCGTCAGACAATAGTTAATCTATTTGAAGGTAAACACTTAAAAAAAAAAAAAAAAAAGCAGTATTCCTCGTTTTCAAAAAAAAAGGCCAGACGCTTGTTTCTATTTACACAAATTATTGAAACTGGCTAACGAAATACCAACTTAGGGCCCAGATATACAAGAAAAATAGCGTTTTTCAGTCTACAATGAAATTCTGATATATCACCCAGGTTTTAGTTTCTTTTACTTCCTTTCTGTGTTGTTAGTAAAAAGCTGTGACGTCCCTTTCAGATCAGAATGCTGATACCAGTGACTCAGCAGTACTTCTCACTTTTGGGGTGGCTATGCGTCACGAGCTTGGCAGCCCCTCGTTTGCACGTGCTCATTTACTTAGTGGTGCAACAATGTCACTCTTCAAAAGGTCTGCAATGAGAATGGCTCGCTTGCCCAAACAGAAACTTCTCTGGCATATTACACAGACACATGAGCACCAAACCATCTCAACGAAACCTGTTATTTGCATGGTGCCGAATCATCAGAAAGGCTCTAACAGGATTCTGCGGGTCCTGCAAACATCTAAGGACAACAGCCATGGCAGCTTCTGATCCAACACACATTGTGCTTTACATTTAAGGAAAGTGAGCAGACCACCTCAAAAACAACAACTATAAACAGAGATGCCATTACTTGGAAGTTACTGAAGCTGCGAGGTATAAATTCTGGAATACGTTTTAATTCTCCTTTCTAAATCATAAAATAAGACATCTTTCCAATTAAATTCTTAATGCTTCTGAAAAAGGCACACATAAAAAAGCAATATTAAATATACATCTCTGATATTATGTTCTTAAATGCTTTTAAAAGTTATTCATTTACACATCACGTATTTATCAATCACCTACAAAAACAGGTGCTGGGTATATAGCAGAAACAAAAGCGGACAAAAATCTTTACCAGAAGGGTTGGTATATTTACTAAAAAGTTAAATGAAACAAGCAAAACTTGCAACATTAATTTTCTCTCTCCCAAAAGCTTAACGATCACTTCTTTTTTAATTATATAAAATGACTGCTTTAAAAACACCATAGAACTAAGAATATAAGACTGGTATATAGTAGTAAAATTGTAGAAAAACACTCAAAATGAGCTTTTAGGGGAAAAGCCAACTAAATAAAGTGTTTTAAATTAGAGGTGCTGTTCTCATTGGCATGACATCTGCTTCATGGGAAAGCACATAATTTGCTTCATTTCCAGTCAGAAACAGAGACTCACCATCGCTCCCACACCCATAGAAACAAGAAATGCAAAGGATACGAAACATAATTGTGGAAGAAACACACTGGAGGCAGCCCTACTGCCTGTGTAGGTCTAATAAGCCGTGGTTTCTCACCCTGAGCACTGTCAGTATCTTGGATGAGCAATTCCTTGTTATGGAGGACGGTTCAGTGCATTTTAAGACGCCTCCATGGCCTCTATCCACTAGATGCCAGCAGCTCCCACCCACACCACCCCAGCTGTGACTATACAAGTGCCTTGGGGATGGTGGGAAAGCAGAATCACCCCCAACCCCTGTGAGAACCACTGTAATAAATTGAAGATGTTGTGCAGGCTTTGTCTGAATCATAGCGTGGGTGGCTGGGCTGGCCAGTTGGTGTTCAGAGTGATTTTAACAAGAGGATGCTTTGATTGTAGCTTCTTATGCCCACCAGAGGGCAGCAGCTGAGCAAAAATGTCTGCTTTCCCTGTTCTTAATTTGGTAGATAACGGGGCATTACCTGCATATCAAGTAACCACCAGTGTGCACAGGTACTTCAACAGACTACAAAATGAATACTATAAAGGTGCCGGAGAACGGTGCTTCGAAAATGGTCAAAATTACCTCAAGGCTCGGCTTTCCATGTCTTTCTTCCCCACCTCCATACAATTAAGACAGAAATTGGTCATGTTTCTAGTGATGAAATTATAGAATTGGAGGGGATCGATTCTGTGATACCTTAATGATCACAGACAGAACCAGTCAGTGACAATGCCTCTGTGGAAACATGATTACTAAGGAAGTCCTGCGGCCAAGGTGTATTTTCTGAGTTTACATCTCAGGCCTGAGTTTACATCTCAGAACATCTGAGTTTTCTGAGTTTACATCTCAGAACAACTTACGCTACATTTGAAAAGTCTGCTGCCTAAGAAAATTCGAGTGTCTTTTTAGGTTCGATTCTCGTGACAGCCCTTTTGTAGCAAATGGTATTTGAGAAAATCAAATCCTTCCTTCCTTCGTGTTCAAATTTGTGTGCTTACTGCACTAAATAATAATCTTTTTTTTTTTTTTACATGTCTGTCTTTTCTCTCCTCTGTACATAGAAGATTAGCTTTTTGCATTCCTGGCACCAGGCAAGGTGCTAGGATGACCCCTAAGTTCTTAATAAATGTTTGTTGTACCAAATGTTTGTCTACGTAAAGTGAACATGGTCCTGGAGCCAGGTTATTGCCAGTGAATACCTGTTTAGCACCATTTAAAATCTCAGACTGACCATCCTCAGCCTTCCTCGTCAGGAGGAACCAACGGGGCTTTTGCCCGGCAGCTGCCTACCTGCTCAGAGACAGAGCTGCTGTATTTTTTAGACATTCTCTTCCTCATTGTCTCCTTCACTGATTTCACCTTTTTTCCGAGAGATATGCGGGAGGCAGTGGGTGATTTGATTACTTCCTTGTACACAAAATCTCCTTCTTTACCCTGCAAAACAAAATGTTACACATACCTTTAATCAGAGAAAACGAAGCCCCAAAACAGGTTTTATTACTCATATCACTAATGTTCTACCTCTCAGAAAAATATCGGTATCTCTCAAGATCTTGAAATTTTTCTGGTTAACTTGGTGCTCTGTTAATTTATCTTCTCGATGAAAAATTAAAAGCTACTCAACTAAGGAGCTTTTATTTATTTGTTTAAAGTGGAATGGGAGTTAACTTTTTATTTTATTTAATCTTAAGTACATTCTTTTATTACAGTTTTTTCTACCACTTTAAATCCTCAAGAAGATGTATTTAATCAATAAAGAGTAATTTAGATGGACCGATGTCCACATAATCCCAACGTGGGAAAGAAGAGAAAGACAATACTGGTGAATCACCTAGGAACGGGTAAGAATAAAATGGCAAATCTTAGTCATTACAAGTCCAACATCTGATCAGATTTACATCTTCGTGGCACTTTGTGTGGTCTACTCTTAAGTGTAAATTTCCTTTTCTGAACAAGTTAGATAGACTGTGGTCACCTCTCATCCTACTTTTCACTGAAAACAGAAAACAACTTTCTCTAGAGAATGGGGGGAAAAAACTCATACTTTCATTTTTTAAAAGACTGACTACATAAAATTATTGGTTTATGAATCAATAAAATTTGATATCCAAATAATACAGTTTTACTTTTTCAGGAAATTCTCAAACCGTCTGAAAATTACAGATGAGTCTTTTAACAATATAACCACGACTGTAACAATATAAACCATGGATCTTAATTTCACAGCTTCTTGACAATACGCATAAGAGAAAAATAAAACTGTATATAAAACTCACCTATAGCCCTGGGACCTTAGCTAGTAAACGTGGGGAGCCACTTGTACAGCGAACCAGAAGCAGCAGGTCTGAGGAGAAAGTAACCTTGGCCTTCAGGCATCTGGTTTGCTTTGGCCCCAATGACAGTAGGTTCATTCCAAGACGCCCCAGCTTAGAAAGACCTAGGCTTAGTATGGGGCTATGTACTTGGCCTACGATAAGAGTAGTTTTTAGCTATGCTGGCACAAATCCAAGGGCTCCATCACGTCGCACTACCTGGGTGTAGCAGTCATGTGCACTTCAAACTAGTCTGAACCAAAAGCACGTGTGCGCAAATGACTGGCACCATAGCAGCCAAACTCATCTGGGAGAAAACTGGAAAGAAAGGCATTGAAGGAATCATGCTACAACGAGGAAAAGGATGGAGGCCAGAGGTGGTCGTCATTCACTCCACGTGGAAGAGTGAAGAGCTGCTGGGTGAAACAGGGCTTCTTCCCATTATGATTAAGGATCGCCAAGGAAAAGGTTACCCAGTATCAACTCTCAATAGATACTAGACGGGAAGCTAAGTCAGCCACATCACTCGACTGCAAACCTCTTGCTTTCCCTCTGACGTTATACTCACCACTGGGTCAGAGTTATCACTGCCAATGTGCAGAGAACGATTTGTCAAGTCAAATCCTCCGAAACTGCAGGTTCTCTGTGGAAAGGAGAGGGCGGGGCAGGGGTAATCCAGTTATGCCTCAGTCGGCCAGCGGTGCACCAACCCAACACACTTCCCGCTTGTAGGACATCACTGAATCACAAATACGTTACAGGATGAAAGTAGGAAACGAAAAATGATGAGGAAAAAAAAAAATACATGATTCATGTTCAAGGGAAACTTCAATCATTTAGTCCTTCCACGGGCCACTGGGGCTGTGCCCACGCCAGAGGTAAAGAACTCCCTTAACATGTAAAAACCAACTAGTTAAAAAAAAAAAAAAAAAAAATCCAGGTGCTAAGTGTCCTAAGATTCCCTGTCTCTTAGCAACAGACGTTCCCTCCCAGTCTCCTTAATATCTTCTGAGCACAGTAGTTATGATAAGGGGATAAGTAGTGAGGGATCCATGTGCTCGGAGGGTCTTGGAAACCCCAGTCTGAAGTCCTACAGCTCTGCCACTGACAGAAGACTTTTCGAACAGACTCTTTTTTGTTTAGTTTTAAATTGCTAAGAAAAAGGAAAACAGGTTATGTTTATAGTAGTCCAATCAGGCCAAGAGTATTACTCACTTATTGCTTTCCTGGCCTAGCTAAAAATGCTGGTGACTTTCCCATCTAAATGCCCAACTTAATTAAGTATGACCCTTTTTCTTAGAGTGTATGAGGACGCCACATTTGCCAAGAAAAAAGTTGATTCAGTGACTTTGACCACACACTCCTTAATTTCAATAGGAAAAGCACACATTTACAAAGAATGAAAACGCTAATGTTCTTTCAGCTGGTTTCAAACTTTATGGAACTATTTGTATTTCACTGATTTTATATTTCCAGAACTTGGTTTGAATTCCCTTTTATTTTTCTAGCAAGTTACTCAAAAACCACCTCCATGACACCCCTCACCCCCCGCCCCGCAAAATCTGTAAGAAGAAAAAGAAACTTAAGGCACACTAAGTCTGTTACAACTGATTATCTTTTTAAGCAACCGGTAATAAAAGTTGAATAGGAGTTTGGGTTCCAATATGTTATGCTATCTGTTCCTCAAAGAACGTTAGTTAACAGCTATGAAACGGAAGAAACGAACATAAACAATGCATACTATAAATACTGCTTATTTAAAATAAATGCACTTTAGATTTACATTAACCAAATTGAGAAAGAAAATGTCTAGGTATTTGGAATCACACACACATGGATCCAAATCCTTGTTCTGCCACTTAACTTGCTGTGTAACCACAGATAAAGGACTTAAACTCTCTGAGCTTTGGTTTCTTTGTCAGAAAAATACTATCTGTATCATATATTTGAAGACTTCTACCACATTACCTGGCACAAAGCAGACATTCTATGAATGCTGGTTTCTTCCGTTATTTCTCATTAGGGCTACACTGAGAATTGTAGCTTGTTCCAACAATTGTTATACTGAAGTGTAGATTCAGTCAACATGCTAAATATGCAAATGAAGGACTAGAGCTTAGTCCTGGGCCTTACGTTCTGGGAGCTTTAATTATAAAACTAGAGCATCCTAGGTATGGACCAATAAGTGAGAGACAGCAGGTATGGCAGAAGGGAGGTCCAGGAGATGCAGAAGTGTTACAGGAGGCATTTCGGGGTCACCAACATTCAGGGTGTCACACGACTATTCTTCACCAAAGCTACTGTTGCTGTTTTAAATGCTCTACCATGAACATGATTTCCAATGGACATTATTCTAATTTTACATTAAATCATCAATGGACAATCTGATTTCCTTTACAGTCAACTTAACTAGACCTATATCTATTCTCTAAAATCAGAAAGGCCTCTTTATGCAAAAACACTCACCAAATCCTCAATCTGGTAAGCAAGGTTATGATCACCTCTCCAGGCTAATTTTTAACATTAACTTTCCCTTTCTGGCTTGCAATGCTAAATAGATTTTCTCATTTTTGCAAAGTCAGTGATTTTATTCTAGTTCTCTTCCTGTGACTCAGGACTTCACAGACACAGTATGGCACCCAGATGCCTCATCGTTTTCTGGTTTTTGCAAGTCCCTGCTTTAAATTCCAGCATCAACTGCAACATTGGAGGTCCAGCATCTTATTTCTGATGCATATGAAATAACTGACAAAGAATTCATGTGAAAACTATAACTGTAATAAGCAAGAAAATCGTTTACGTCTTCAGCTGCCTGCTGTATGCATTCATTCCTAAAGTAAAAAGCTTAAAGAGTGGACTGGTTTTCTTAACTATCAACTCAAAAAACCTCTCCCAGTGATATGCTAAGGTACCTGGAACTGATTTTTCTTTATCAGTGTAGGAAGAACAAAGAATGTAACAACGAACACTGTTTGAACTAATCTTTAAGTTTTTCAGTAATATTAAGTAGTTCTGAGAGCACCATTCCTTCAACAGAGAAAAAAGATTGCAAAGAGAATAGGAAAAGGAAACGAATCAATCTTTGACTTTGGTGGGCTCCATAAATGAGGCCTAAATGAAGTTTTTAAGTTCACACATCTCCCGTGTAGATCAGTGTTAGGACATTTTAGATAGATGCTTGTGGATGAGGAGAGCCAGTCAATGCAATGGTCATGCAGTTGAAAAGATGTATTTTTGGGGGAGCTGAATTTTTAAAATGGACAAAATTCCAAAATGTCATGCATGTCTGTTCCACCAAATGAAAATTGAATGACCAAATAAAAAGCAAGACAAGTGACCATTTCCAGTGAATACAAAGCGTTATCATTTCCCTGAGGTTTCGTCAAGCAAATATGGCATATTTTGAAAGAGAAAAAGATCAAGCCTGAAGATTAAAGGAAACTGTATACTTTTGGATAAAATGAAGGAGAGATATGACAGAAAGGATGGAAAAAAAACCTTTTTAAGTAAACCAAGCAAAGAAACCGTCTTAATCTCTTAAAAAAAAAAGCTTTCTGTTGTTAAACACTTAGTTTCCCTTACATTCTCTGAATAATTAGAAAATTAAATTTTGTTTTCCTGATTGTATAATTATACTTACAATAAAAAATATGTGCAAATTTCTCATTTAGCACTGAACGCATATTTCAACAAGTATTAATACTGTCCAGCCTCAAGCTCACAGTACCTTAAAAATACCCAGCCTCAGGCTGACACCTGGAATAGAGATGACACAGGGTCACCTTTACAAGGGGGAAAAAAAATGCTCAGGTGTCCCTATTCAATGTCAATGAAGAATTAATCGCAGGCCCACAATGTTAATTAACACTAAGCTCAGAAATATAACTTCTGGAGCAAAAACTCTTCATAAAGTCGTATCATTAACCGAGTAACACACATGAACAGCTCAAGGTGCTCAGTGTAGAAAAATCCTCAGTATCACATGACTTAAACTCATGGAGCTGAGTCATCGATGAATAGAAGAAGAGGATCTGTTTTATCAAGGTCATATCAAAGGGTATAGAGGCAGACGAACTGGGCAGAATACTTCTAAAGGTAAAAAGTAAATTACACCAAAATTGGTTAGCCACAAACGTTTCACAAAAGATCTGTGGGTCAGAACTGAATGAGTGAGAAAAAGGATTCTGTTATTATACAACAAAAACAAAACCAGCCGCAATCGTTGCCATGATGTTGAAAGAACCAGAAGAAAAGTCGTTACTAATAAAAGTGTTGCCAGACTGATAGGAATGTGAGATGATGGAAAATTAGATCTAGCAAGAAAGTCAATACATGTGGGATTACTTAGAAAACCTAAGCGCGAAGGACAGGCCTAAGGATCCCTTTCAAACGGAGAAGGTCATCTGAAGGGTGCAATGGCCAATCGGTCCCCATTTCCACAAAAGCAGAAGGTGACCGAATGAATTTAAATTACAGTGATCACCTGGGGAAGAACGTCTTATTCGTGAAAGTGAAGGAACCGTGGAAGAGGCCCTATTGAGAGGCCGCAGTAGTCTGTTGCTTCAGACCCTTCAAAGGGGACGTTGCCAGCAGTCCCAAGTGGAATAAGCAGAGCACAGGGGACAGCAGGGCCAGAAAACACACCAGCTCCTCCTCGCTGTGACTCATGTTACATGGGCTATTGTGCAAACTGAAAGTTGAGTGGGAATTTCAAGGGGAAAATATTTATATTCTCAAGTTCCAAATAAGTCATGCCTTGAAAATAAATTTTACAGTCTGTAATAATTCAGTAATAAAATGGAAAAACCTTTTATTATTTGAAAGTAAGTACGTTATTCTTTGCAATATATACACAAGAATCTACAGAGTGGCGGAGGACATTTTTAAATACTGGTTCCTTTGATTAAAAAGGTAAGAACATCGTCTAGACCTAAGTAAAAGGAAAGGGTTCTAATTTTTTTCCCTTTAGATTTAAGAAATTTCCTTTGGTCTCTACTAATGAAAGAAACGGAACTTACAATGTTACCAAATCACCAAATTGGTGATTGTGATCATGGCACTCCATCCATGAGCTAGTTCCTGTTGTTTTAATTAACTAAAAGAATAAGCATCTCTTTTAAGGGCAAAATGTCCTCTGTTTTGAATCAGCTTCTTTGAGGTCAAGTGACATGGTGGCCAGAAATCAAGAGAGCCATCATTCCTAGAAATGCCAAACCCCACCCCAGTATTCTGAAAGCCCTTCTTCGGATCAGCTTCGAAGTTTAGCTTTAATTAAAAATCAAAGAGCTTTGACTGGCAAGAGGGCAAATGGAAAGGAAGGAGAAGCCATCGTTCACGGAAAGTAGGGTCAGAAATTTGAGATGAGGATGGAATGGACCCTGAAGTTACAAAGTATGAGGAAGAAGAGAGGGAAGGACACCAGGCTCCACAGAAGAAAGGCCATAATGCTTGAGTGCACATCACAGAAATGACAAGGCCCTCCTGGTGACCATCTTTGTGACTCACGGACTTCTGGTGGATTCTCAAGAGAACCCTTTTAGTACAGCGGTCGACTGTGGCGGCCCACTTCCTCTTTGCCTCCTCATCCTCCTCCAGCAAGCACCGCCTCAGGTCCTGTTTCTCAGCCTTGCTCAGGGTCCTGTCTGAGGCAGGACGCACTAGCTGGGTCAGGTTCAGGTGGCTGTACAGGCTCCGCTCCACCACGTAGGTGATATTGAACTCGCTGACCGAGGGGCGCCCGCGCACCCTCCTGCTGGGGACTCCACAGCTCCCTCCCCCTTTAGGCCTCTGCCGGAGCAGCTGCAGGTCACAGGTCATGCTGTTAACTCCTTTTCTGGAGGGACGCTGGCAGAGAAAAGCTCTGGAACATGAATAATTAGTATCTGTTTTCTTCAAGCGGATTTGCTTCCGGACACTCTGAACCTCCTCCAGGGACACCAGAAGGTGGTGCCTACGACGGTGGCTGTCATAGAAGCAAACGCCATCCGTACTTACCCCGTGGCTCAGGGACCCGAGACCCTTCTTCATCTCTCCCTCAGTCAGGGAGCGGGAAACCTTCTGGGCCTTTTCTTCCTCTGGATAGGAGAAAAATGTCCCCATCTTCTTGGGGGGCTTAATGAGGCCCCGACTCTCTCCTTTGCTGAAGGTTTTGACCAGCTTCCGGCCAGCTCCCCAGGTATCCAGGCTGCTAGATGATGGAGAAGTGGTGAGAGAGTCTGAATCATCTTCTGGAGGTTTCTCAGGAGAGCCGTCAAAGAAAAAGGGCTTCTTGTGCACTCCGGAGTAAAGGGCAGACCTTTCATCCAGGACAGGGGAATTTTCAAACATGGGCTCTTCCCCGCCTGGAGAGGAACCAACACAGACAAGTTCAGGGCCTCCTGTAAACATTCCTTCGCATTTTCTCACAGATCTTTCTATGTGTGCCCCTCCCCTCACCCTGCAAAAAATCTAAGTGAGTCCACGCAGAAACCACAGTGATCCCCCTTCCCATTTTCACTTACCCTCTTCACACACCTGGCTCCCATTTAAGTAAATGCATGCAAAAAAAAAAAAACAAACAAACAAACTGCAAATATGTGGTTTTTCACGAGCTTAACGTTAAAAGGTTTCGGATGTGTTTTCTTCTCCTTCTTTAAACATCTCTGTAGACACCTTAGCGGACCTATTAAAAATGCCATTTGGAAAATCTAAGACAGTCATTACACCGATATTCCTTAGCATTTAAAGGTAATTGCCCTCCTCAGATGCTAAGTGCAATCCTTAGAAGCCGGGAATCAGAATCTCTCTCCTTCTAAAATGCCCTCCTGTTGAGTCTTGTTGGCTTTGTATACTTGGAGTGATGAATGCCATGTGGCTGACAGTCATTTTTTTTTTTATTGGTACATATGCCATTTGAGTAATTAAATCACAAAAGGAGTTTGGGTTTAGAAACCCCACAAAGGACTGTACCTTACAAATGCAACGGAGAAACGGTCCCCAGTTGACAGGCCAAACACAGAAAGCTAGGGAACTGGGTGATCCCAGCCTGACCCTCCCATTAACTCGGGCTCTGCCGGGAGCAGCAAGGGCATTTAAGGGCCTGGACACGCAAGCAGCCCCATCGAGTGCTCCTCCAGGATTCCGCCTCTCGAAGCCCTGGCCGGAGCCAGGTACGGCGCCAAGCCCTCTGGAGCCCAGTGGAAAGGTTTGGACTTGCTGGCAGGAAAACTGAGTTCCTGTCTGTGTGTATTATGGGAACAGATGTGAGAAAAGAAGTAGGTCAAATTGTGGGTGTAGTGACCCTATCTGGCTGTGTCCCTCTAATTATAAGGAAACTGTGGAGTGCGGCCGCTTTCCACCAGCTGAATTGTGAAGAGGAAAAAACACAAAGTTTCCTGGAACAGAGACATGGCACTAAGTATACCAGCTGGGATGAGGGTGCCAGCGTGTGGCGAAATGTCAGAGATAAAGAGAAAGGGCCGCTTGCTTCAGAGAGGGTTTCAGAGAGGAGCAGACTGGTAGCAGTCCGTTCAAATTCCAAGAATGTCTTATTTTTCCAACTAATGGGAATTACAGTTACAAATATAAAGAAAAAAAAAAAAAAGGACTACTGCTACTAAATACAACCCAGGATTGACTTTGATGGCAAGGAGATGGGAGGGAGAGTCAAAACTATGCCCAGGCCAAAGTTCTCCATAATCTGCAGCACAAATATATTCACTCGAGAATTATTCCTGGCTCTTTCAGCAGAGTTTAAAATGGGGGGTCTAGGTTTTTAACAGGAATTCACCAGATCAGAGACAGTGTGCGAATATCATGAAAATTTCCTGCTCCTTCCTCAGCACATTCAACTAGTAAGGTATGGAGACCGAGGGTCTCTGTGTTGCTGAGAGTAAAAAAGCCAACCTCTTCTAGAAACAGTCCGCTCTCCACTTCCCGGAAGAAGTGATGAAGCCACGTCAAGGGACACAGCCTGGTGGCTGAGGGGGCCCAAGAGCAGACTTCTCTATAAAAGCAGTCCACAATCACAGATCATGGCTTAACACGCAGCCCAGGTATCCACAAAGGCATGCAAAGGTCCTTCTCTACCCATGTATCCTAAGGGGCTTCAGGAAAGTCAGGTGGGTTGATGAAATATTTTAAGGAAGTGTCACTCAACGGTGGTCTGGAAATTTTCTAGACTCTGTTATTTAGGGTTGTCATCAGAGATTCCAATACCTCCATGTCACATTTGAGTTTGGAACCAGCTGGTGCACACATATCCATGACATATGTAGCTCTACTTTCTGGTTCCAGAAGTCAGCGTCTGGGTGAGGTGTTTGGAGGGAAGTGTGGCAAATGTTTTCAAAGCGGCCACATCAACCTGTGCTGAGGGCAGGCCTCCCGTGGCGTAGACTCTTCTGTCTGACTGCCCTAAGGCCTGAAATCCCAGCCTGAACTTGACTCTTAGAGTTGAGAGCATTACTTCTCTCATTCTCTTTTGACTTGAAAGTAGAACTATCCTACCAAGAGAATAACGGTCAAATGTGCTCACTCCACTCCATCATCATTTGGTGTGATCTGCTTCCCACATTCTCTAGCTGAGATCAGAATACAGAAGGAAAGGTGATTTTGATAGGCAGAAGGAGACAGGATATAGGATGACTTAATGCCAAGAACCTAGATTTATGCCCTGGATGCCAGCCCTGGCTCTGCCACGCACCATCTCCATGACCTCCAGCAATTACTCCAATCTCTCAGTCTGTTTCCTCACCTATAATAATGCCTATCTATCTTGATAACATCTACTACCAGAGTATTGAGAGGATAAAATTAAATGAAAAGAGATAGGTGAAGGTACTTTATAAGGTGAAAAGCACAGTACGAGAGCGAATGATTCATTATCAGGCTACAGAAGAGCTAGAGCGATGAGGGAAGGGGTTGGGAAGGTATCGGCTGCAGGAAAAAGACACAGAAATGGGCAGATGAAAGGCACTGACGTGGCTTACATTTTCATACTGCCTAGGGTCATCCAGGCCCCTAAGAAGGACTTGAAACTCAAGTGACAAGGATGAGACTGGGTCAAGGATTGTAACTGCAGGCTTTTCAAGCCTCCGGAGCTAGGGGTGAGGGAGATGTGGGAGCAGAGTGGAGACCCAGGATGTAGAGGAGTCAGGCTGTCCAGACTTCATTCTGGGTCTTCTGCTGGCTGGCTGTGACCTTGAGTAAATTATTTCACCTTTTGGTGTCTTAGTTTCCTCATCTGTGAAATGAGGATGGTATTAATGCCTGCCTCTGGTGGCTATTCTGAGGATGACATATTAAATGGAACATAAAATCTAAAGTGTTTAGGAAAGGACACACAGAATGCTCTCGATAAATATTCAGACAACTTAGTATCGGCACAAGCATGCAGGAAGTCAAAAAGATCCATCTTTGAAGGTCCAGGGGCGGAGGGAGAGGTTATTGGGAATGGTAGAAACAGGGGCTGAGGGAGTGAGTACCAGTTCTTTTGCTAATGAGGAACTGCAGACAGTTCTGTTATGCAGGAGTTGGAGGGAGTTGTAGACTAGGAGGATGTTGGGGGGACTAACCCTGAGCAGACACCCTGAGCTGCACAGACACCTGGGGCCTCTCCTGGCAATACCAAGAAGCACCCCAATCTCAGATCCCCAACTTATCAGACATCAGAGGTATAACCTGGGACTCAGCTCGCTGAATCCATCATCCATCTGAGACACCTAATTCATACTCAGATGAATTCAAGTTCAGAGTGAGATGTCCATGTGGTCATTATGTTTTTCCCTATAGATGTCCATACGGTCATTACGTTTTTCTCTTTTGGTGTATTCTTCCTTTTTTCAACTATGTCTCTCAGAGTTGGTTGACTTGATTTACTGAGATAAACATGCAAGACAGAATATTTCTGTGTTTTTACAAATGCTATCCTAGTGGAGAGGCTGCCCCAATGCACATGACGATCATGTACGAAGCAGTGACTAGGTGGTAGGCCCAACACTGAGTACTTCACCATTTTATCTCATTTATGGACGAGACTCCTTAACCTAGTTGTCATACTGAGACTTAATTTTGTCACGATGCACGAGGTTTTAAAACGTGGTGCCCTCAAAGTTCAACGATGGCAATTCCATATGGTTCTAATTAATATTGTCAACTAAACTGTGCATGTGAGTCCATTAAGAGCTGTCACAGTGAGAGGAAATGAATTTATATCTGATACTGTCAAAATCACAACTAGAAGGCAAGTTTTTAAAACATCCAAATGTAAAATCAGCATCGCACCCAAAAGTACACAGAATTATCATGCCAAATGACAACCAAACGAAATCCTGGACTTAAACACAACTCTAAGGTTATGAAATTGATCATAAAGCAGATCTCTGTCTTTTTCCTCCTTTCTTTTCCCTTTTAACCTCCACTCTCTCACAGTAACCCTTTTACCTTCAATATTACTCTAGAGGATTTAAACTAATAAATAATTACAATGGATGAAAATGAAAAACAGCAATAATAACAGGAAACCCTCATCTATGTAAATAAGGGGAAATTCCGTTCCCTCCACGGCTTGATTTTATTCATGTACACCAAAAATCCTCTCTAATGAGAATTTTTAAATCCATATATTAAAAGCTGGAAATTCCTCAGAATGTAGGTGTGAAATTTTAACCGGTAATATGTTTTTTTAAAAAAAGACATATTCTTTCCAGTATTTTCTTCTAATTCACTTATCATTTTCCAAACAGGAAATCTTATTATTTTATCTTTTGGGGAGAATTTTTCAAGATGCTACAAATGCATACTACTAATAAAAAGAGACGATCCAGTTGTGATTTAAAACTGTCATAATTACACTTAAAAGGTTAACTATTCATTCCAATAAAGCTAAGCTCTTACCCCTGTTGACATTATTGCTTTATCTGACAAGTGGCTGAGCCAGCAATACGGCTCTCAAGGATGCACTTAGGATGGAAGGTCCTCAAAGTCCTATTTGAACTGAGACTTGAGACAGTTTATAGGAAGAACACATCATTCCTCAGAGATCCAAAAGGATATGAAATGCCTTGATCGTTAGGAGTTTGTTTGAGATGGATGTATGTCAAATTTCCACTAAATTCGATGGGCAAGAACCGCTGTCCTTTTGGGAGCAGAGGAAGTTATAAAATAAAGTTTATATAAAATGGCATAAGCTCAAAATTAAAGCTATGGCACACTTTGAGAAGACTTCATTGTCATATACTAGCCAGTTCTCTTCTTTATACTATTTAAATTCCTGAGCCCCCAAAATACCGGACACCAGATCCTTCACCCCATAACATGCTGAGAGTTGGCCTGCTAACATGCAGACCTGGTTCTCTTTCTGCCAGCCTTGGCCAGAACTCAACCCATTTTCCACTCGAAATCATATTCTTTTTTTCTACTGAAAAACGAACCCCAAATGATTTACTCTGGAATAAGCAGGGTGGAGTTTGCTTTTTTTACCTTCAGTGCTGGGCTTTTTCATGTCTTCCACCCTGATTAGTTTCTTTCTCACTCTGCGAGTAGAATTTACCAGCTTGTGTAACCTCTTAAACTTCACGGACTCCTCGGTCTCATCATCCGATTGTTCTCTTGACTGGCAAAGAAACAAAGGAAAAGTTAATCAGATAATTGCTCCAGAGCTCTGCTCTTGCAGCCGGGGGCAGCCTGGCCTCACTGCCAGTCTGAAATCTGGCAGTTCTGCAGCTGAACTTGGGGTACCAACAAATTTGCCCAACAGGTTCATGAAGCTCCACCTACCATCTCAAGGCCTAATGAGTGGAGAGTTAGATCCTAAGCAGCACAACATACACCCTTGCCCTTGACCTGCATGCGGTGCATTTGTCTCGACTACTTCCCGGTCCTCTTTCAGGAGAACTGCACAGGACGCTCTCCAAGGCTGGCCCTGTAATTCGTTGTGCCGCTGTGGTTTGGGCCAGGCTCTCCTCTGTCTGGCCCATCAGGACTTGCTGTTTAAACGTGGTCACCAACTACTTCTCCAAACCGAAAATCTGTTGACTTGTTCCAGTCCTCCCCCCGAAAATCAAAAACAGCAGGGCAGGAAAAGGGAAGAGATGCAAAAAGCCGCCTTCTATCTCACTTGTGAAGTCGTCTGCCGCATCTCAGCCATCCCTTCCGCCTCTCCCAGCTCTTTCCAAGAGCTCAGAAGGCGAGCATGAGGACAGCCCTTACATTCCTCCAAGAGGGACAAGGGAAAAAGCTGACCTTTTCAGACATACAGTACAGTCCATATTCCCCAGAATCCCATTTCGTTTTGCAGCGATTCAAGTATGCTCAGCCCAGCTGTTTTCCCTCAAGTATCCAACATTACAGAGAGAAAAAAAAATTCTCTCCGCAGCAGTGACCCAGGCAAAAAACAATCCTTTCCTTGTGAACGAAATGAGTTTTGCTTCCAAGTCAGCTCCAACATTCACTATGCAGCTTCCTCTGTTTTATCTGTTCAAAACGTAAAAAAAGCAAAAAAGAAAAAAAAAAGTCTCCAAGGAAATGGGCTGCCGCACGCACCCGGGGCGCGGGCATTCGCGGGAGCGCAGAGCGTGGCGGAAGCACACGGCCGCCGCACACCCTGGGCAGCTGGTGAGCAGCTCCAGCTAAGCCTGCTCATCCTGGCAACAGCCTTCTCTCCATTTCCTTTCCTCAAACCCAGTTCACTGCAAGAGTCGGGAGAGAAATGCCTCAGCCGAAAACACGAAATAAAAACAAACCACATCTCTGAACATGAGTCCAATATGGAGACGCCCCCCACCCCAGGAAATGCACCCATTCGTTGCAACTTTATAAACAATAAAATAGGTGAGCAAGAGTGAGCAGACAACAATTCAAGAGGTCACAGGTAGAGATTACATGAACGGTTTAGGCATAAAAACGGTCCGTGTTGTGAGTCCACAAATACTTCTGAAGTACTTTGGTTCCACGTAAGGGATAAATACAACCCAGTTCCTGGCTTCTTTCCTCCCACCAAGCTCCCAGCGTGGAGCCACTGTACTTTTCTTCCTGCATGACTGTAAGCAAACCATGCATCCACTGAAGAACAATTATTATAAACCATAAATGACAAGTCATCTGACAGGGAGCGGTATTTCTCAGGCTTTCCTTCTGTGAAGCGCATCAATATCTGTGTTCCATTTCTCTAAAATTGCTACATAAAATGTTGCATACACATTTCAGAACTAAAGTTAAGGACTGGTTACCTGGTAATCAAGAATAGAAATCGGAGGAATGGGGGTAGTGGGGAAGGAGGGGGGCTACTTGGCATGCTAGCAAGAGGCTTAATGCATCTGGTCTAAAATTCAAAATGTAAAAAATGAACATGAAATAATACAGCTCCTACTATATAATGATATTGTCTGGTTTGAATTTCATTTTTACTTGACTGAATTGTTGATGTGCGATGAAATGGAGCGGTCAACCAGAGGAATGAGAACTTGGTTAACCCTCTTTCTGGGTAATCGGCACCTGAACAAAACCACAGTGCATGGAACTCCACATGAGTATTTAAAAACATTCCGCCTTCTTGCTGCATCTCAAAAGCCAGGCAAGTCTAACAGAAGAATCAACATTAGATTATAGAGTCTCTGGACATATCAAGGGGACAAACCTAGAATATATATCTGTAACATTCGCATGAAAAAATTCTGAAGTCAAGTGAAAATAAAATAAGCACAAGCTGTTTATAATCAAGATACAGGAAGCTATGTTAGAGGATGAACATCACGTGTGTGTGTGTGTGTGTGTGTGTGTTAGTGAGAGAGAGATGGGGGAAGTAAAAAGAGAAATAGGATATAGAAAGAAATAATACAAAAATCGAGCCCGCAAAGACACAAATCACATGTAGGAAATGAGCTATCAGAGAGAAATTTTCAGGGAGAAATCAAAATAGTTAAACCAGAACAACAGATTTAAAGGCAATGACTGCCCCCACCACCCGTCCTAATTTCCTCTGCCCAGATTCACTGTGGTGAAAAGTAACATATTCCAGGTACTCATTTGATTGCTTTCACATGTTCCATCTAGTTCTGAGAAACAGGAGCTCTTTAGAACTTTAACGTTATTTTTATTTTTCTTAAAAAACGAAGATTTTGGAGATGTCTGCCTCTGACAAATCATGGCAACCAATAACTTTCTTTGCATTATCATGTTTCGAACACTAGACAAGACAGATTCATCACCATTATTATGAAGAAAAATATGAAATAAACCAGTCATTCTATATATACATAGTACATATACATATATATGGACATATGTAAACACATATTTTCTTCAAAATAGAAAATGTCTTAAGTAGCCTATAAGTCTAGAAGTTAATGGAGTTGAACGGTGCTTTGTATTGATGGAGAGGTGTTGACTTCTCACTTCCTCCTGAGTCCAGAGGAAAAAGAGATATCAAATATTTCCCTTTAAAAATTCTCTCCAGCTGTTTTAACATAAAAACTCTATAAAAGGCATGTATTTCTTTTCAACTTAAATCTCTTTTAAGCTTAAATTCCTCATATCATGTCTCTCCTTTTAAAGAAGCATGTGCCACTTCCTGAATGCTAGAAATAACATTATCTTTTCATTTCAAAAATCTACCCCCAGAGATGGATGGGTGAGAATTAGGGGGAAAAAAATTAAGAAATCTTCCCACTTGGAGGAACTTTGTAGAACATGAAGGAAATCTGCACTGTATATAAAATGAATGATTGATTCCAAGAAATAAATTCAGAACTATTACAAAACAGGTTTTTAAATAAACTACCATGAAAATAAAAATAACAGTACATATTTATACACATTTAAATAGTAGATGGTCTCTCCTCCCCTCTCTGTCCTGCCCCAGGTCAGAATACTAAAATAAAGTTTAACTTGTTCATCTTTTAAACGAGGTAAAAACTCAATTATCTGCATAACCCCCCCCACCTCTAAACCTTTACTTAAAAAAAGCAATTTATCCCACCAAAGGTTATGGAAAAGTAGATTTACAATGTTGTAAACAGAAACATTTGATTTCAAGCCTCTCTACTGAATATTTTTCCACCAGAAAGCCCATATGGCTCAACTTTTAATTACTTTGGCTAATGCTATATGTAGTAATTCTGTGGTGAATGCTTAAGTGTTTCATTTCTGGTTTCCATGGCAACATTACATCAGATTGCAGACAGCTGGCTCCACAGTTTTTAACCATAACAAAGTGACCAAGCCAAGGCACAAAGCTATAGCTGCTTTAAAGAGATAGCACACCATTGCCTTCCAGGGTGCTGAATGGGGAACCTATGGGGCCCGTTTGGCTTGGGCAGGAGGGTGGAGCCTCCTTCCTTCTCAGTTTCTTTTGGAACATGTGCATCCCTGACACATCTGCAATGTTCTAATAGGAAAGACACGGAGCCAGCGTGGAGAACTTCTTATAACACAGCTACATTAAGGATGAGCGGAAAAAAGGAACACAATTAATAGCATCTGTAGATACAAACATTTGTGCGCTGGAGCAAAGTAAAAGCATCCCCTCACTGTTCAACTCAAGCCTGTCACTGCGGGTCGGTAACAGATACTTCACCGGACACTGTAACAAACAGTTCTTGTGACTCTGACACAACAGAATAAATACTTTCCAAAAGGTGCATGGCACAGTGGGGCAGGCGCAGGAGTAATGGGCTATAATAAAGGTTAAATCGAATTTGCAAGAAGCAACTAGAATCCTTTTGGGGACCGTTTGAGACCACGCTTAGCACAGGGTTACAACTGAGCCTTCTGCAGAAACACATTCAGCCTGCTTCTCCAGCTCCAACACCCCACATGCTGTCTCAATTAATAGCCGCTAAGTCAACTTATCTCTCAAGAGCCAGCACATAACACTAAGATATTCAAGCATTTCTGAAAAGTATTGGAAATGTATTCTCTTGTGAAATTCGCACGCCCGTTTAACCCCAGCACCTAAGCAGACATATACGCTTCAACTTCCTAGGTCCGCTTTGTCAGTGGCATTAAATGAAAAATTAAGAGAAGGAAGCCGATCGGTTGTAGGTTTACGAAAATCAATATGCAATGCTGTCTGAAGTCAAGTCCTCCACACTGAAAGCCTCCACAATTGACAACTGAGCTCCAACCCCCGGACACTCAATCGCTTGCATTCCCACTTTATTCTCAAAATAATATTCACTTTTGTCCTCCAAAAGCGATGCCTTAGTATTGAGTGAGCGTGCCAAGAAAGAATGCTAGAGTTACAAGGTCGAGAAGTAAGCAGGGAAGGAGGGCACATCTAGAGGAATTTGAAAAGAGTGAAGCATCATAGCCAGGAGCAATCAAGAGCTTTTCTTTGAAGTGACAGAAAGCACATTTTTTTCTTTCGCATTAAACATACCCTGGGAACTTACCGGCTTCGGCATTGAGCAGGCCTAAGGGGCAACTTTGAGCTCGCTGCAGGTATCCCCACCCCCTCCCCACTTTGAGAATGTCTTCTCTCTGGTTCGTCAACTCTGTAATCTCAAAGCGAGGATTAGGCACTTCTGAACGTGTTCCTTTGGAGTTACATGATCAGACAGGCTCCACCGGCACAGCTTACGATCCGGAGGAAAAAAAAAGTGAGGACACTGGATT